TCCCAGAGTGGCACACACGGACTTAGGGTTTAGGGTTTAGGGTTTAGGGTTTAGAACTTCGGAAGCAGCCTAGGCCCCGCTGCGAGACTCTGGCCCGTGCGACTCAGCTTGGCAAGGAACATGTGAAAGGATGTTCCAGAAAATGTCTGAATTGCAATGTTCCTCGAAGGGGTTCAGAGTAGTGGCTTTCAATGTGTGCTAGTGCTTCTCCAGAGGATCAGCGCCTAAACCTTGAATTAGTTGGGAGCAAGACGCCAGACGCCTCAACCTTGTGCTGCATCCCTGGATTAGCTGCTGGCATTCACCAAGTCCAAGCACAGCCCGCCGCATTTAGTGCCACTTCTTATTTCCGTACGGAAATGGCGAGAAACGTTGGCATTCCTGTAGCTTGAGCCCTTCATTGTGAAGTGCATTTAGTATAGCCGCAAGTAGTCAAGAGCTGTTCTTCGAAGTCAAGTCCGTAAACCACTGAAGCAGTTTGCCCGTGTGGCAGGGACCCTCCAGGAGCTCCAAACACCAAGGCCCTCAGAGGGTGAAGGGATTCAGCATTCAGGACGCGACTTCATTGCTTCAGGGCTCAGGGTGGAGGCATCGACCGGCTCGAGTGGCCCCAGGGTCTTGAGGGCGCAGGGTTCAGGGGATTTTGCGTCGCAACACCAGAATCCACGGTTCACGATCTAGCATGCGTGGCGACATGGGTTCATCCACCTCTGGCAGATCCAAGACGTCCTTGCGACCCCTATAGGAGCAGTTCTCAGCTGCAGCCTTGCAAACTAGACTCCTTTCTTGCACACCTCGTTCAACGGGCCCCATGCAGAAGGGATGTAGGAACTGACACAGCATCATGTCTGACTCGTCAGGGGCAGTGCAACTGCTGGCAGTTCTCCCACGCAACAGGCCCCCGGAACTTCGGTTTTTTGTCACTGCAACTCTTGAGCCTGAAAGTGGGGCAGACCTATGACCGAGATTGCTGGACAAAGACTCAGAGGTAAGTATGTATATATATATATATATATATTTACATATATATGTGTATATATATATATATATATCTCTATACATATATATATATATATATATATATGTATATGCGGACAAGAGAGTCCCCACGGTTGACCTTGCCCCCTCAAGTGATCAGTGCGTTTGGCAAAGGTTGCTAACTGGACTGTGATTGTTCTGCACAATCCTTCTTGAGGAGTTGGGTTTTGGCCGCTGGCTGGCTGCAGCGGCACGCAACCACTGATGAAAGCTTGGCAGGCGAGCGCTCTTTTCATTCGCTGGAGTTCGAAGGTCTTACTGACTCTTTTGTTGTGAAAGTTCCACGCGCCTCTGGCCCTATTTGTAATATGTGACTTCAAATCCAGTTGTGGCGGACAGCCTGCTCGACAATTGTTGAGGCAAAATTGCGGCATACACGTTGTGAGCCATTGAATAGTTGAAGAAGCATGTCATTCATCGTTTGGACTCTGCAGGGGTAGGTGTAGATAGAGGTTTTCAAGGATTTCTTAGCAACTTAGCATGTGCAAAGACCATTTTCATGCACGGTTCGTACGACATTGACAGCTTCTTGAGCTTGTGAGAAGAAGCGTGACCGGTTTGAGACACGACCGAACTTCTCGGAAGGACCCTGCATGCGTCGACACAATGATGAACTACTGGAAAGAGACCGCCTCCTCGGCGATTGCAAAGGCCTCCCCAGACACAAACATCCCAGAGCTTCAAGAGACACCCCAAGTAGATTCCTAGGCGTAGTGTATCCTGTGTCTCTGTTCGGAGACGTTTTGGAGTTTTTGTTGAAACCCTGACCTCAAAGCTTGTGCTAGAAGAGGGTCTTGGAGCTTCGCATTCGCAAACCTCTTCCCTGGACAGGTTTTGGAAGCGTTGCAAAAGGGGATTGTTCACGTATCGCGGGTTGCGATAAGCGTGTGGCGCGCCAGTCCCAGTCCCGAAACTCCTGAATCATGTAGACTCATTGAATCATTATGCCGGCGTGGACCCCAACAAGCAGTGTAAGACCAGGACATCAACTGCACATTGCAAGCGTCACTGATGTGGCAGAGCACGGACCCCCAAGACCCACCCCAAACCCGAAACCCGAAGCCCTAAGCCCTAAACCCTAAACCCTAAACCCTAAACCCTAAACCCTAAACCCTAAACCCTAAACCCGAAACCCTAAACCCTAAACCCTAAACCCTAAACCCGAAACCCGGCCCTAAACCCGAGAAGCTGGGGCCTCCTTGTGCCATGGTGAACTTGCGACATGGAGCGATGCGAAAGTCTTCAGAATGTGATTTACCGCGAGGCAGAAGCATCGACCCAGCAGGAATCCTACATGAGCTAGGCATCCCCAGACATGGAAAGGCACCAAGGCAGGACGTCCCTAGTCCCTGGCTGGTCGCGCAGCCTGCACCGCAAGTATCAGGATTAAGCCTTGACATGAAAAGGGCCCAGGGTACGATCAGGGTCCCTGGTACGATCATAGCCGGAGCCTCGGATCTACGGGGCTTGTAAGGGTTCCGACGCGCGGCGGCAAACGTGCGTAAGTTGTGAGTACCTGAGGCACCTTACGATACTCCTTAGGCCCAGGGCCTGTATGGATTAGGCGAGAGCGTTTTTTTGGTCAATTCGTCACGTCCGGCGACGCCTAAACACCGCGCCTTGGCGAGAATGTGGTTTTGTTTTCCCAGGATGAGTGCCGTGGAACCAGGTAGTGGGTCTGCCGCAGTAATCTCCCACTTTGCAACCCCATAATTGGCCACACGGCTCCCCACGTTTACTAGCAGAACTTTACATGTCAGAACCCGAACCCGAGATCTTATGCATCCGTGTAGGCCCTAACTCCCTGAAATGCGCAGGGGTATAAGTACCTCTCTACGCCGCTGGTGGCTGAGAACATTGACTATGCCGCTTGGATTCAAGTACATGGTGGAGACATGAAGGGTTCAGAAACATTCAAGTGACGCTTGGTGAAGTCGCGAAAAACCCATGCTCTGCTCCAGACTAGTCGGAACGAAGCTCATGCGGCGCATTTTCTGCGCAGAGTTTCGGAGCTAGCTACTCGGAATTAAATTTGCCCAGGATCTTCGTCAGTTGTTTGTGCAAATCTGCGCGAGCGCGGCGAGCACACGCATGCTGTTTTGCAAATCTTCCAAGGCAGCTTGTGCCAAGTCGGACACGGTTGACCAACATCTTCATAAGCACAGACGCTCTGTCAAACTGTGGGCTTTGAATCCCCCGGCCCTACGGAATGTCAAGGTCATGTCGTTTTAGATATGATCTCAAGTTATGCAGATGGACATGTGGCTTCCCGTTAAGCCAAACTGAGTCTACACTCTGGCATTGCCACTGCGTCTGCTGCGCTGCCATGACGCAAGCCTATGAAATGTGATTTTTCAAGTTTCCAGATGGCGGCTCATTCACCATCAGTGACATGGTTGAATGTTCTGCCCGGTGCCTGGCCTACACATGACGAATTCCCAAACCGCCACTGGGCAGATTGTTTGAAATGAAGCCGAAGGTGTAGTTGATCATAGCATTTTGATCACCGTCTCATCGCGGACGACGTCTTTGCCCATGACCAGGACACTTCCATCCTTCGATAGCTCTCTTCAGGATGCATCACAGACCTTTATGAGTGCCCTCTCCTCCTGCACCCTTGCGTCCTTTGCATGCACAACTCGGCCCAAGGCACAGAACTTCATCGAGCACGCCTGCGGTTGCGAGGGTGGCGTGTGCAGCTGCAAGGAGGCGGGATCCGTGGTGAGGTGTTTGCTAAGGGTGTATGGGTCTCCCTTTAGGGTTTAGGGTTTAGGGTTGCTTAACGGGTCTTTTAGGGCTCGGTTCCGGCTGCAGCTTCTGACGGTGTGGCCGGCGAATGCTTCTGTCGAATAGTCATGCTCGCCCAAGTGCGTGCAGTCTATGTGGCGCAGAAACTACCGCCCAGACCGTAAAGCGGACTCGAAACCAGCTTAACACGTTCGCAGGTCTTCGGTTTAGGGTTTAGCGCTTTTGGGTGTGGGGTTTAACCTAGTAGGACCTCGGACCTAGGGGTCTGCAAAACCCACCCACGAAAAGCGATGTCATTCTGCTCAGGCTTCCTGTGGCTGCCCCGTGTACGTCGGCTTTCACTTCTATGCCTACGACTGCCAGCCAGAGGTCATTTGGACTGAAAAAGCTGTTTAGGGTTTAGGGTTTAGGGTTTAGGGTTTAGGGTTTAGGGTTTAGGGTTTAGGGTTTAGGGTTTAGGGTTTAGGGCTACATTTGGACTTACAAAGCTGTAGGAGGAGTTCATTGGCACGAAGGGCGCTAGAGATGAGCAAACCTTGGGGTAAGCATGGAAGGAAGCTGAAGGCTCGTTTTTCTCGAGCTGAGTCTCGAAAGACTTGCCCGGCCTGAACTTCCCGGAGCCCCAGCTTCCCCCCCCATATGTTTAGGGTTTAGGGTTTAGGGTTTAGGGTTTAGGGTTTAGGGTTTAGAAGTTCCCTCAAAATGCTGCACTTCGCACCCAAAGCGCCAGTCCTCCGGCGGCTACTCCACCCTGGAGTCGCGCTTGAAAGCGGTGGCTGCCATCATGGAGCCCCTTGCCAGCTCAAGTTCTTCACGTCAGCCGAAGGTCATGGAGTGCTGGAGATTCGGCATGGGGCCCTCTAGATAACCCTAAACCCTAAACCCTAAACCCTAAACCCTAAACCCTAAACCCTAGACCCTAAACCCTAAACCCTAAACCCTAAACCCTAAACCCTAAACCCTAAACCCTAAACCCTAAACCCTAAGTACCCTAAACCCTAAACCCTAGACCCTAAGTATGCCTTCAGGCACTTTGAAAGTGAGGCCTGGAAGTGACATGCCCCAGCACCCAAGAGTTCAGGGGACCAAGGAAGAGTTTAGACTTCCTTTCCCAAGACATCCCAACTCCATGTCAAGCCCTTAGACCTTGAAACTCGTGCACCTGACGCAGGAAGTACCCCTTCGTGAAGGGGGCCATCATCAATGAAGTCGGTATGCTGAATTGTGCGTCAGAGGACTTGGACCCCATCTGCGCCACGACCTGAGTGAGGCGAATGCCTGGCCTTGCAGCTGTCGGGATTGGATAATACAGGGGCCTTCATAATTAGAATAGGGTTTTGGGTTTTATTATAGTATATTGATAAAGGGATTATGAGGGAATACTCTTAGTGATTTTTCCGACCCCTATGTTGGCTGAGTCAGCCAGCCACGTAGACCCTTGCAATTCACTTTGTCGGGGTTGGCATTCCCGGCATTCCTACTCCTTTCATGCAAGGCTGAGCACCCCATGTTCAGCACCGCAGGCCATCGATCATCGGGTCATAGGCTGTGACTGCACGCGCCCATGCGCTGCGAGAATCTTAGGTCCCAAACTCGGGAAAGTATCCCGCTTCCGACACGCCCAACCATGCCTGTCCGTCCACCGACGAGCTACCGAATGGCCTGGCCAGCTTCATCGACAAGATTTTCGACTCTCGGGCTGCATTCACTTGACACCCGACAGCTCTCTGCACCCTACACTGTTGCACGATGACACCACAGCAGCGACAATGCAAAGCCGACTGTCCACTGGCCATTACCCTAAACCCTAAACCCTTAACCCTTAGTACCGTGCAAGGACTACATCATCGCCGCCAAGACCAGCGACGGGCGTGAGGCCCATGACGACCACTGAGCTTAGGGATTCCTGGGAATAATGTGTAAATTTTTGGGCACTGTAATTCCTAAGAAACAGCTAGCTTTTTTTTTAAATTTTTGCTAGGGTTCTCAGTTCCAAGTTCTGTATCGTAAGCCGACCCTGACCCGCGGTCACTGTTCGTGCAGATCTGGGAATGCTCTCGTCGCCTTTAGATTCCGAAGGGCCGCAAAAGAACCTCTTTCGCTTTTTGTTGGGAGTTTAGTTTTTCTTGGAGAACATCGTGTACATCAAAGCTTTTGCCCATAGAAAAATATCAACTCTTTACCTCAGCGACGGGTGGATGCACCAAGCCCTGATATGCACCCCTCCTAAACCCCCTTTCAAGTGTGCGGGCCGTGGCAGAAACAAACCATCCGAATCCGGAACGCGAGTCGGAAGAAATGCGCCCCGAGTGAGAAACCTGGGAGGTCATGTCGTCCGAGTCGGAAAACAGAAACAGCCGAGTCAGAGAAACCAGGTTGAATGTGACAACACAGGGTTTGTAGGGTTTAGAGTTTTTTGGTTTTACGGCATTTAGGGTTTTTAGGGTTTAGAGTTTTAGGCTTTGGTGTTTTTCGGGCTTGGTGAGGGTTCTAGAGTTAAGGTTTTTGCGGTTTAGGCTTTTTCGGGTTCAGGGCTTTTGAGATTTGGGATTTTCGGGTTTGGGGGTTAAGGATTTGGGGTTTGAAGGGTTTGTTTTTTTCGGGTTTTGGGTTCTTCGGTCTTTTTTTTAGGGTTTAGGGTTTGTAGAGCGACGCTTCGGGCTCAGCACGTTTGTCAAGAAAAGTTTTCGGGTTTAGGTTGGCCCCACCTAGAGCCCTTCTAGATGCCAAGCTGTGTCCGTGACAATTTTCCGGAAACTCGGGTTTCTGGCTCGGCTTTTTTTTTGGACTCGCCCCGCGCCGCTTTCAGACTCGTTGTTTCCGACCCGCTCCCCACCCGAGCACCCCAGGTCCTCAGCTTAAAAACCAAACTGTTCTGTGTTGGTCGTTTGCTCGAATCTCTCTTCTTGCCCACGCTGTCACAGAAACTCTCAAGCTTGTTTCTTCAGCCCCAAGAGCTTCAACCACGAGGACATAACTTGACACAACCTTCATAGCCCCGAGGCCCCAACCAGGAAGCCCTCCCCCGAGTAGCCAGTCAGGTTGCCTTCAACGTTCCCCTCCTTGGGGATGTTCCCCCTTCATACGGCTTATAGTACACGTACCCCCTCTCAGTGTAAGGGGGAACATCCCAACTTCCTCTTTCCAACAAAGCGGCCCCTGCCCCCCCAGGTGGTCAAGGGCTTTTCTTGGTTCAATCAGGACCAGGACGGAGGTCCCTGGGACCGAGCTGGACTCATAGGGCTGAGGAGTTTGGCTGCCTTTCGCGCATACGCAAGGACATGCGAGGATTGCAGGTGCATTTGAGTTTTCACTTCAGTATTACGTGCTCGTCCCTAGGCCCTGGACAGCTCACAAATCACAAGCCATCGATCCCACATCCTTCTCCCTCAAGACCCTAGTCACACCTTGAGGCACCTACAATTTGCGGCTATTCGACGACGATGGTTCCATCAACAAGGCGTCCGTGAGTCATACCACCATTCTGTCCAACCTAAATCGGTCTGTGTAAATTCTGTATTGCTATGATGTGGCGAACACGTGCCTCAGGCCAGCTATCGGCCACATAAACCCCAAACCCCAAACCCCAAACCCCAAACCCGAAACCCGAAACCCGAAACCCTAAACCCTAAACCCTAAACCCTAAACCCTAAACCCTCATTGGGACAGTGCTTTGACTGACCGGAGCCGAGGCAGGCGAAGCGTACATGGCCGCCTGTACACGCTGGCGAAGTTGATAGCCGGGGCGCAGCCTAGACCGAGCTTTCAGTGGCTTTAGAGTTGGGGGATGCTTCTATATCCCCCTTGGGAATTATTTGTTTTTAAGATATTTTTGTTCATATAAAACCCAAGAGGATATTGAACATATTGTTTTTTTATTAAGGTTCTAAGGGGAGTATAGGTTTGGGGCTTAATGCTTGAGTGTTGCAGAGTTTCGAGGCGAGTGCACTGAGGTTTCAGCACTGTAGTGTGCACGGCCAGGTACCCTGGGTTTGCCCGCAGCTAGGGGCCTAACGAAGTTTTATTTCGACGTGGTGGGGGCGAAGCAGGCTAGCCCCTGCGAATGAACCAAATTGTCAATTTGCACGCTACTTGAAGTTTTCCTTCAGGGGTATTCCTTCTTACCATACGCACGGTGGACCCTCAGCCTGAAGAAGTTTGCAAATCTACACCGCAACGACCCTGTACTCCTGTGTGCACGAGCTATTGCAGAAACTTTCCCACCTTGACTGCTGTCCCGCGAACAGCGAAGTTCGCCCTTCAACCCAGATGGCTTAGTGGGCTATCTTGGGAATTATTGTCATTTTTTAAATATAAAACCCAAGAGGATATTAAAAATATTGTTTTTGTTAAGGTTCTAAGGGGAGTATAATGGGCGGGTTTGGCTTAGACCCCACGTCCGAATATCATCCAACTTGCCAGAAAACCCTGAGCTTGGGCGCTCCTAGCCATCGTGGTTCCGGTTTCAGGGTCACGGGGTCGGCTTCAATGTGTCTGTGTGTGAAACCGAGCACTTGCAAGGGTTTGGAAGAGGGGTTGTGCCTTGCTCCTGGCTTTTCAGGGCCGAAGGGTCTCCACTGGGTCTCGGGCTTTGAGGGTTTTGCATTCCGACGCTAGGGTGCATGTGTGTACGATAAACGGCTGCAAAGTTTGGAAATTACAGAACAGAATTTTTTACTTTTTGCTACCCTTAATTCCCGATGTAGTCCTTATGAAGCCCCAGGGCCCCCAAACCTACCCCAAGATTAGAGCTGAAAGCGTCTTTTTGCACGAATTCACGCGCGAAGCGGCCGGTCCCGTCAAAGAAACGTTCCAGGATGGATGCCCCGAACCAAAACCCAAAACCCAAAACGCTAAACCCTAAGCCCTAAGCCCTAAGCCCAAAACCCAAAACCCAAAACCCTAAACGCTAAGCCCTAAGCCCTAAGCCCTAAGCCCTAAACCCCAAACCCTAAACCCTAAACCCTAACCGAACATCAGACATGACAACGTGGTACAGCACAAGGAACCAAGCAGGAGACTACTGCAAGACCTTTCTTCTCAATGCCTGCTCTACTAGCAGTTACTACTAGCAATATCGGGGTTTCCGCAAATAGGGGTACCTTATTGGGGTCCTGAATATAAGGGAATCCTACTAGTTGGGGTTCAACCTAAGCCCTAAACCCTAAACCCTAAACCCTAAACCCTAAACCCTGAACCCCAAACCCTAAACCCTAAACCCCCAAATTGTATGTGCAGAAGACATCGCAGGAGGGCCTCTGTGGCATCCTTCAGAAATCTGGCAGAATCGGTTCACCCGCTTGCATGCCCCGGCTGAACTAGCAAGGGAGATATGGTAGACACCTTTAAGGAATAATCCCTATATTTCCCTTAATAAGGAAGAAAGTGTTTTTTGTGGGGGGTCGGGGGGGGATTCTTAAGCAATTAGTAGGTAAGGAATTGAAGAGCCGATATCCCTCTGAGCACTCGGCACGAAACCCAGGATCCGCCGTGAGAGTTCGGTGGTGCCGCACATGAAAAAGCTCTGCGGTCTAAGAACTTACGACAATGCACCCATCGCTTGCGGCACCATCTCTCTCGCTCGAACCCCCCATCAACGAAGGGATCTGACTGTGGTGTTTTGGTAGTCGTCTAGAATCAGACAATCTAGACAATCTAGACCTTAGCACTATGTCATTTCGTGCGGGCGAATGAGTCCTCAGACCCTCAATCAATTTAAGAAGCAGGCGGTGACAGAGGGCTTCGGGTTTAGAAGTTCCGGACTGAGTGCTTGAATCCCTGTCGATGTCGTAATCATGTTTGTCATGCTTGTTGTCTCGACTGCTCCATGCAGCTTGCCCAACGCAAAAGCATTGCCTGTATCACTTAACTTGGGAGAATGCTACCCCTCTATGGCTTGGGACATGGGCTGGGGCTAGCATGCCCGATCTTTGCGCCTTCTTGCTGAGCCGCTCTGCCAGTCACCAAAATGTGCACGAGCTTCCTAAGGAATAAGGGAATCCTACTATTTGGGGGGTCTAGATTCGGGTCCCCCCTATTCTCGTAAACCCCGTATGATTGTGCAAGCCGCAGGGCGACCTTAGGCGGCGCAAGGCACACTTCCCCGATGGAGTTAGTTCCGAAAATAGGGGGTCGGGTTGAGGGTTTAGGGTTTAGGGTTTAGGGTTTAGGGTTTAAGGAAAATAGGGGTGGGGGGGACCCTTTTTATACCCCAAATAGAGTAGAATCATGAAGGGACCCCCAAATTCCGAAAATAGGGGGGAGGGGGGTTCCCCTTTTTGTACCCCAAATAGAGTAGAATCCTCTTAAGGGGAACAGCAAAAAGGGCCCTAATTTTGGGAAGCCCCCCCATGTGCAGGTTTGTTTCCAAGTAGAGTGTGGAACTCAAGTGTCTTGGTCGATATGATCCCTAGGCTCATTGCAGCTTTGCCGTACTTTGCTGCCGCCGAGACAGTGACAGGTTTAGACATCCGAGATGCTGCCTCGCCGGTCATTGTAAAGTAGACTTGGCTACAGGGGATTTCGGGTCTTAGGTCTGCGGACCCTAGACCCCAAACCCTGAACTCCGCAACGACAGGGATGCAGAGGAAAGCCCTCTACGTCCGGCCTTTTGTTTCCGGCCTTTTGTTTCCGCCCCGCGCAGGTTGGGGCTGCGTGAGAGGATCGTGTGGGAGAGCGGTGCTGAGCATCTGAGCATATGTGCTTCTGTTGAGGCAGTACGGTTTGGTTGCTCAAGATTCACATCTTCACGGTTCTAGGATGTTTCTCAGGTGGAGTGATAAGGATTTGCCGTTGCAGAAGGTTCGTCGTCAGCAAGTGAGGCTCTCATTCATGTAAGTGGACAGATTCAGACTGGCTGTTTGCCTGAATCGCAAGGGTCTCGAGCGTCGGTAAGATGCAGTTTCCCTTTTCGCTGCTCGCAAGCGCCCAAGGTGCCCGGTGCCAGCTACACATCGATTTGGCGAGGCATGGAGAGGTCCTTCAGGGATGAAACGAACATTTGCAGGTTTAGGGTTTAGGGTTTAGGGTTGTTCGGGGAGCCTTCAAGACCCTACCACCGTAGCACCCCCGCCTTCCGCCCCCTCCCCTCCCCACGAGTGGCGTATTGGATTTCGAAAGTCCTGGAGGCCTGTACCAGTGGCCCGCTCAGCAGAGGCGCCTCAAAAAGGCTTTGGCAGTCCTGGGTGTGTGGTGTCTCAGATCGTTCATTTTAGGCTTTCGGGCTTTAAGTTGCAGGGTCGATTCCTAAGCCCGAAGTCCTATAGCCACGATCCTAAACCCCTTAATTAGGTCCTTAGGTCAGGTGGTTGAGAAGTCCTATGCCCTACTCTTGCGAAACTACACTGCCCTCACATGCCATGTGCTTCTCATGCTTGAGCAATGCTTGCGAGCCCGAAAGAATTTGACCCAAGATCTGAAACCACATCGTCGCCCAAAACCTCACAAATCCTCAATCCTGCCTCGCCCTACCGTGGGGTCACAAGATTTCCGAAGTTGTCCTGTTTGATCCAGTCTGTGGACCGTGCTTTGCATCGATTGTGCAGCCTCAGCTGGCCGGGCGGCAGGCATCAATGCAGACTTCAGTGACCCAGTGGAATGCATGCACAGTGAAGAAAACACCCCCACTTAAGTCAGTGCCACTGAACGTAGGGCCGAACTTCGTAGAATCCGGAGTCGATGTCAATCAAAGTGAGCAAGTGTCTGCAACCCCTCGCTCTGACGTTGACATGAGAACCTGCTCTAAGCCGTTCAATCGAAGTCACAATCGTAGACATCTTATCAGAGATGAGCGCTCCCAGCATCAACTCCAACCCGCACGCCGTTTTGTATGACTGTTTTGACCGGGGTTCGGTTCAAACACATTTTATTCCTAGACTCAAGCCCAAACCCGCCTTTCTACTGTAAGACGTTCCGTCTTTGATTCAAGAAGCACTGCGTGGCACGCCCAAGCATCAGAATCCTGATCCAATACTTGTAACAAGTTGGGCCTGCTCCATGAACCATGGCTCCTCGCCGCGGATAGCAAGCAGCAGGCTGCGATCTTGGGATTCGACCCTGAATCCCGTCCCCTTGCCGTGTGCACGTAAACCATGAGAGACGTTGTTCCTGTAAGCCTGCAGTCCAAACATCACCTGAGCCGACGTCTTCCCACCTCTTGCCCAAGATATAATATATGTATACATGTGATATATATATATATATATATATATATATATATATATATATATATGCATGTATGTATGCATGCATGCATGCATGCATGCATGCATGTATGTATGTATGTATGTATGTATGTATGTATGTATGTATGTATGTATGTATGTATGTATGTATGTATGTATGTATGTATGTATGTATGTATGTATGTATGTATGCGTGTGTATCTATAGTGTTGGCTAAGCAGGGTATTGGATTTATGCAGAGGTGTAACTTTTTGTGTTTGGTTTTAAGAATGGATGTTCCGATTTGAGCCTTTAAGTTTGATGTTTGCTCAATCAAGATTAGAGCACCATCATCTGGGTAAAGGGTTAAGAGGTTTCAGCTCTGCACTTGGCAGTGTTTTTGATGAGAGTTTCGAGTGAAATCTGATGTGAATGCATCAGGGAACCGGTATGTCCACAGTGCAGCCCGGCTGCGTGCAAGGGCTTGTATCTTTCACGCACCTGGCTCCCAACCCTTTTAGGGTTTAGGGTTTAGGGTTTAGGGTTTAGGGTTTAGGGTTTAGGGTTTAGGGTTTAGGGTTTAGGGTTTAGGGTTTATGGACTTTTTCATTCTCTCAAAACCCCGAGCCTGGAGCTCCAGGCATAAATGGGCTTCCTTTTCAAGAGTCACATTCCGAGAGTTCCGCTGCAGGTTGCCGCAAAAGCTCCTTGTGCTTCATGTTCACCTTAGCCTGGTCCTTGCTGGAGCAAGAAGGGCTTCAGGGGGCTCTAGCTCTGGTGGGAAGGGACAATTTGGAGTACATTTGGGAGTCCTGAAGTGAGGAGTTCTCTCGGACAGATACTGTAGTTGCCTCTCACCGCCTCCCCCACCCCCCCCATCCCCCCCACCCCCACCCCCCTCATCCCCCCACCCCACCCCCCATCCCCTCCACATACTCCCGCCCTGAAATCGCAAGCGGCAAAACCTCTCCAAGGCCTAAGCCTAACACCCGTTCTCACCCTAAACCCTGAAACCAACCCCCAACCACACCAGAGCGGGGGGCCGGCGCGCGGCCAGGGCGCGGCCAAGGGCCCGCAACCATATTTTCGTTCGGTCTTTTGAGCTGTCGTTCGGGCTTTTCTGAATCCATGGTCGTCTATACCCCCATGCCTGACAACATCTTCCTTACACCCCAGGCCCCGAAGTCCCCCCAACTTCCGGAGCCAACTGTCAAGTCCCGAGTCAAATCCGCGGGTGCAGAGCTTTTGGCACATTCCGTCTATATAAGTCACTCTCGGCATCCCTCCCTCTTCTAGTTCTGCACACTTGGGGGCGATTGGTCTATCTTAATCATGTAACCCGACCAGTAAGCACATGGCTGCATCCAGAGATTTATTGCCAGGATCCGGCTGGAGTTCTGGTTTTTGGGAGTCTGTGCCTTCGTCTTTTCATGCGTGAAGACTGCGGCTGCTCGCTGCGAAACCCCCGCAACGCTGCGTCATGTTTCCTTAGCATCTGACCTGAAGGTCTATGACCCTAAACCCTAAACCCTAAACCCTAAACCCTAAACCCTAAACCCTAAACCCTAAACTTTTCTCTCAGGGCATCCTCTTCCTCTCTTCTGACACGTCTACTTATTCGGGGCTCGGGGGATGTTCACTGAACTGCGCTGAGGCCCTGGTCGCGGATGACATACCTATTCGGCCAGAGGTGTCGCAGCTTCGTTCTCTCTCTCTTTTTTTTTTTTTTTTGGGGGGGGGGGGGGTAAACGGTTTAGGTTTTATGGTTTAGAGTTTAAAGTTTAGGGGTTAGGGCTAACTGGGGTGAACTGGGGTTACTTGGGATGTTCCCCCTTCTGCGAACAGCGCTGAATAGGGATTATGGTACACCCTATTAGAATCCCCATCAAGGACTGATAGTACAAAGGGGAACATCCCAAGGGGTTGATCTTGTGCAGACATCCTGTGATTCGCGGCGCATGCCTGGTTCCCGATCTTGTCCAGCTGTACCGGGCCGGGTTGGGAAGATAAGTCTTTATGATCTCGAGGTTCTTGGCCCAGCTAAGTGCAGAGGTCAGGGTCGTCGTGTTGCATGAGGCGGCCTGGAGACTTAAGATGTTGCCTTGTCCTTGCCAGGACTTCCGCGACGATCACCGAGATAGACTCAAAAGGCCTGATTCTGGGGCCTAAAAGGCTTTGCAGAGTAGACCCATGCACCGAAGTGTTCATAATCCGTTCCCAAATATATTTGCACAGCACTCCCCCATCGGAGGTTGAAAGGAGTTGCAGTCGAGTCTCGCTGTTCTAGATACTCTGGCAGCTACTGGATTTGCTTGAGTTTCGGGCTGGACTTCGGTTTTAATCTCTGCCCTCCAGCAACATTAGCAACTTTAAATACGTAGAACGCATTCAAGGACACGTTCAATTCCAGATGGCGTGGTTGGGTGGCAAGCCAGTACCCACTAGAAATTTCGGAGTCAATGGCAAATGCGCGTCCCCAAACCTCACGATTGGAATAGAAACATCCCCCACGTTCCGCATGTCCCCTCGTGTCATGGCCGAGAATCTAGAGCCCGATTTCGGGTTAAATCATCCGATGATTCTGGGGGTTTCTATCTGGAAGGGTCCGGTTTCTTCTATGTTACTATTGCTTCCACTACAAAAGTCTTTCAAAGATCCGGTTCCTCTAAGCTACGGTTTCCACTACAAAAGCCTTACCAAAAAAAAAGGAAGACCTGCAAGGCAGATTCAGCTGCGCTTTGTGGACCGCGTGCTGCCCAATGTGGGCCTCTGCATCGAGTTCTACAACTTCGTGAGCATCAAGGCGGGGTTTGGGGCCGGCTTTGTGGAAGGTGACGGGGTGCCGGGGGGGTTGAATTAGGGGGGATGCCATATATATATATATATACACATGTATATATATATATATATATATATATATTTCGATATGCATATATATCCTCTGGTTTTTTTGGGGTGTAGAGGCGATTGGATGTTTCCGAGCTGAATAGGGCTCAGAGCACCAAAAGCCCTGGTGCAGGAACTCGGTTGTCTTGATGAGATGTGGGATTCCAGGGCACACTGTACTCGTGGCCTCATAGCAAGATCGTAGTAGTAGCACGATTGTCCCATCTGATGAGGTCCAATTAAGTCTCTCTCGCCATCAGAGTGACGCATTCTCCTGCAAAGTTGAAGCCATTCTCCTTCTCTCATATGGCGGTTTCCGAAATAGGGGTACCCGGTTTGGGGGGTCCCTTGAGGAGATTCTATTCTATTTGGGCCAGAACAGGGGTACCCCTACTTTGGGAGATATATACCCATATTCTCTTGCGCACTTATAAGACGCTTCAAGCCGTTCGGTGGCAGGATGCCATTATCTATCCCGGTGATGGCCAGCAGTCGTGCGGCGAAGCCTCCGTCAAGGCCACGGGGCGGTTTAGGGTTTAGGGTTTAGGGTTTAGGGTTTAGGGGTTAGGGTTTAGGGACTTTGCAGGGTTTTCAGCTCGGTTTAGCTCTTTGATGGCTTCGGGCTCCGACAAAGAGGCTTGTCCAGTGCTGAAACTGCATCGAACGGGCTTAACATGTCGCAAAGGGGCCTGAGAACCATGGCTGGAAAACCTGTGAGAAAGGAAGCGGTTTAACAACAAGTAAGCAGGTGCCTGCAACCTCGACAGAAAAAAAACAAAGCCTTAGGCCAAAAACCCAAACTGCGTAAGCTCGGGGAGCATTGGATGCCTGCGTCAAGTCGGCGTCAAGGTGCCAGCCAGCCCACAGCCCTGAACTTCTCAAACTTTGACAATAATCTGAGGTGGAGTTCAACTTGATTGTGTTCCAACCGCTCCTTGATGAGTGGCTTGCCTGGGCCTTTCACAGAACTTCCGGACACATCCTCACACCGCGAGTGCGTTGGGCCTAAGGCGCCAGCCCAAATGACTGCAATCCCAAAGCCCTTAGTCCAAAGTTTCGGGGTCTTTAGACCAGCTTTGGGTCCCACTTTTGCAGGCGGCTTCAAACTTCAATCGATTCAGACCAGGAGTCAGCCCTAAACCCTGAACCCTAAACCCTGAACCCTGAACCCTGAACCCTAAACCCTAAACCCTAACCCTAAAACCTAAACCCCTAAACCCTAAACCCTAAACCCTAAACCCTAAACCCTAAACCCTAAACCCTAAACCCTAAACCCTAAACCCTAAACCCTAAACTAACCCTGACACGGCAAGCTTTGGATCTCTGCTCCAGAGGCAAGGAGCACCCAAAGCCATCTTTAAGCAAGGATTGAAGCAAGATCATTGGGATGTTCCCCCGTATACCTAGCAGTCCTTGATGGGGATTACACTTGGGGGTACTATAATCCAAATACATCCGTATTAAGGACTGTCCTTGATAGGAATCATCATCGGGGGTACTAAAATTCACATTAAGGACTGTTAGTATAAGTGGGGCCATCCCAACAAGAGCACACTAAACAAGCCCGCGACATCCGGTCATCCATCATCAACACGCAGGGTGGCCCATGTCCGGAAGCACGAGGGAAACTCGGGTTTAGGGTTTAGGGTTTAGGGTTTAGGGTTTAGGAACCATCCCGGAAGAGTCGGGAAATAAACCCGAACCCTAAACTTAACCTAAGACCCTAAACCCTCCAAGTGCAGCGGAGAGTGTCAAGCGCCAATGCAAACGTACACGACGGTCACGTGCAAGGAGCATGCGATAGTGTTTATAGGAAATTGCATCTACATGTTTAGTTCACTACCAAACCTCTACTGTAATTCTTCTTTAAATGTGAACCAGAAGAACCCAGCATCTCCTCTTCCTTCTGCACATGTCCAGGATAGTTTTTGCAGATAAAAGCAGGTTTTCCTATTGCCCTAAACCCTAAACCCTAAACCCTAAACCCTAAACCCTAAACCCTAAACCCTAAACCCTAAACCCTAAACCCTAAACCCTAAACCCTAAACCCTAAACCCTAAACCCTAAACCCTAAACCCTAAACCCTAAACCCTAAACCCTTACCCTAAACCCTAAACCCTAAACCCTAAACCCTAAACCCTAAACCCTAAACCCTAAACCCTAAACCCTAAACCCTAAACCCTAAACCCTAAACCCTAAACCCTAAACCCTAAACCCTAAACCCTAAACCCTAAACCTTCGGCTTGCTTGCTTTAATCATAAAGGAGCTTGGGTGGGGTGCGGAGGAGGAGCGCAACCCCGCAGCCCCCCCTTTCTCATGTGCAAACACAATGTTCGTGTGCCTGACAGTTGTAAAATGATGGTTTGATGATCTTTGCCGTAAGCCTGCATGGCGTAAAGGTTAAAAGGGCGGGTGGGCGGAAGCGCGCAGCCCCCATGCAACGCACAATGCTCGTAGCACAGATTGGCAAAAGACTCATACAGGTGTCATGAAGGGCCATAAAGCGGGCTAGGAAGCTTCGCCCGAAATTCGTCTGTACTATGACATGACACTTTTCTTAAGATCAGACTGCCTGACTTTCGCCTCCTTGTGCCCAAGGGTCCATTCACTTAGGTTGGCTGCATCGACTCCTCCACAACACGTGGCATCACAGTTTCCCTGGGATTCTTTCAGGAGCGGCGATTGCTGAGTTCATCCTAAGTTTTTTGGAAAGCCCCCTGAGGCGCCCTAATCCTTGCACGCAAGGACGTGGAGATTCCATCCGCGAATTTACGCACACCATACACCTTTGACGAGGTGCATGGTACGTGGGCCCTTCGCTCAGTCTTCACGTGTGCGTTGTCGCCTGCATGCAAACGTCCAGTCTCATGCGCTGGGGACACCGAGTTTTTGTGTGTTGCCATGACAGAGGATCTTTGCATAGAAAGAGTGAATAGCTGGTCGGCTTAGGGTTTAGGGTTGAGGGTTTAGGGTTCAGGGTGCAGGGTTCAGGACTCAAGATGGCCCTTACGCTCCAAACTGCCAGTCTGCAGTTCAAACGCACAACCCTACTTGTAGTTCACCCACAGTTCACTCAATCTCCCACCTCTTGAAGCCTCAAGGTTTGGCTTTACCACGACGAGGCTGGCTTTGAGTTTTTGGGGGGCCTTCGGCCAGCTCCATGATGGCTTGTAAACCCTAAACCCTAAACCCTAAACCCTAAACCCTAAACCCTAAACCCTAAACCCTAAACCCTAAACCCTAAACCCTAAACCGTGAGCTCACGAGCAGCCATAGGAACGCAGCGTCATGATGCCACGGTTCCGAGAGTACCCATGGGTTCGCCCTCAGGAGAGCAAAGAGACAACGAATTTCTTTTACGAGAAGGCCCGTGTGACGTGGACCTCGGGATTCCTCGTAGGCTGTGCTGGGCGATGTTTGCCTGTTTGCCTTCGAAACGGGTTAATAGGGCCTATGGAGTAGTAAGGAGCAGCAAGGAGTAGTAAGGAGTAGGAAGGAGTAGTAAGGAGTAGTAAGGAGTCGTAAGGAGTAGTAAGGAGTAGTAAGGAGTAGTATAGGAGTAGGAAGGAGTAGTAGTAGTAGTAGTAGTAGTAGTAGTAGTAGTAGTAGTAGTAGTAGTAGTAGTAGTAGTAGTAGTAGTAGTAGTAGTAGTAGTAGTAGTAGTCGTAGTAGTAGTAGTAGTAGTAGTAGTAGTAGTAGTAGTAGTAGTAGTAGTAGTAGTAGTAGTAGTAGTAGTAGTAGTAGTAGTAGTAGTAGTAGTAGTAGTAGTAGTAGTAGTAGTAGTAGTAGTAGTAGTAGTAGTAGTAGTAGTAGTAGTAGTAGTAGTAGTAGTAGTAGTAGTAGTAGTAGTAGTAGTAGTAGTAGTAGTAGTAGTAGTAGTAGTAGTAGTAGTAGTAGTAGTAGTAGTAGTAGTAGTAGTAGTAGTAGTAGTAGTAGTAGTAGTAGTAGTAGTAGTAGTCGAAGTAGTTGTCGCAGTAGAGCAACCCCAGAGGCCCAGAACCCCAAAACCCGACAACCGCCGCGTGGGGTGCGGAAGCCGGGGCTCGAGCACCATACTGGACCCATGTTCACATGGGGGGTTTACGAAAATAAGGGACCCCCAGAAAAAGACCCGAAATAGTAGGATTCCCTTGTAGTAGGGACCCCAAGAAAGGTACCCCTAATTTCCGTACGTGTTCATGGTATCCGCACTCGGCTCCAACCTGTCCAGGGCGAACTCATTCGCTTTCGCGTCACAGCCATCAACTTTCCGGATGCCTCATGGCCAAAGGAGAGGGTGCTGGGTGCAACTCAGGGTTGGCGTCCCCGAATACGTGCCTTGGTTCTTGCTTTAACCATCGGCTAATCCCCGAAATTCGACCTCGATCTTGAACAACATTCCGTATAGCAAGCCTCAGACCTGTTGCCCAGCCTACATACGGTACTTGTTAAAAGCTAGACAAGAAGCAGCAGAGCTTGAACCGGCAATCCATCCCAAACCTAGATATACATCTCGCAGGAGCGGAGGCTGCGCCAGCCGATGTCCATCATCGGGGCGGTCGGTACTCCCAGAGATTACCATCACCTTCATTGTTTGCGTCCAGCATGAAGGTAAGGCATCGACCAGGATGCAGCATCAGCTCCGTGAGTAGCAAAACAGGTGGTTACCAGAGATAGACGGAGCCCTTTTCCAAAAGGCTGGAAAGCAAAGAATGTCGCCAGCTGGGTAGTTCTTGGGTCTAGGGAACCTTGTCCAGCCTCTCTTGATAATTCATCCGAGTGAAGCAGGTGGTTCTGTGCCCGAAGGCTTCGTCCAAAATTTGAACCTGATATTTTTTTGGGGTGGGGCGCGCTTGAAATTTGAGTCTCCTGGCTCATGGAGTCATGGGAAGCCCTGCATCGACTCGTGATCCCTTCTGAACCCTTCGCATATCCTTTGCAACATCCATCCTCAGCTCTCGTAGAATACCTTTAGGGCTTGGGGTTGGGATCCCTTCATAGCCATGTCAACCCCCTTCGCAACAGATCCGTCCAAGTCTTCCTGTGCTGTGCAGTTGCTTCTAATCATCCCCCTAACTCAAGCTACGAGTCTGGCCCTTCGTTCCTTCCTGGGGATTCTAGGGTAATTCCCAAGAAACAGCAAAAGTTTGAATGTTTGCCACGGTTCCAAGTTCAGTATAGATTAGTCCCTTCCAATCCAGTCACAGCCCTACCCTAAACCCTAAACCCTAAACCCTAAACCCTAAACCCTAAACCCTAAACCCTAAACCCTAAACCCTAAACCCTAAACTATTTGCTGCCTTCAATGTGCTTGCTTAACACAGAGGACAGCACCGACCTGCAAGCCGGCTTAGTTTGTTGACCGTAGCACTTCCAGGCCCACACCCCGCGAAGCTCTAAACTAAACCCTAAACCCTAAACCCTAAACCCTAAACCCTAAACCCTAAACCCTAAACCCTAAACCCTCAACAGCAAGCGCCAACCTGAGGTTGATCGCGATGGACTGGGGCTGCTAAGCTGGCAACGCCCTCGGTCCGCGGTATTCGAGAAGAAGTTTGATATTTCTTTGGGGGGCACTTAGGGATGAGGGGTTAATTGGGTTTAGGGTCTTGGGGTTAAGGATTTTAGGGTGTTAGGGTTTAGGGCTTGTAGGTTTTTAGGGTTGTAGGAAATTCGGGTTGGTTCAGGACGTAAAAGGGTTCAGAGCTTGGGGGGTTGAGGGTAGGGCATTAGCTTATCGGGCTTGGAGGGCTGAGAGTTCACATAGTGCCTGTAAGGTTTAGGGTTTTTAGGGCTTAGTGTTTGAGGGCGGTTTAGGGTTTACAGTTTACAGGCTTAAAAGGTTTAGGGTTTTAGGGAGGGCACTGTTAGGGCTTAGGGTTTTGGGCTTTTGGGTTTTTGGATTTTGGGTTTAGAGCCGAAAAGGTTTAGGGTTTGAGGGTTTGGGGGCTTATGATGGGCTTTCAGGATGTTGGGCTTACGTTTTGGTTTAGGGCGTTTAGAGATTAGGGTTTAGGGTTGCGGGTGAGGGTGTTAAGGGCTTAGTGCTCAGGGTTTTAGGTTCAATGTTTTAGGGTTGAGGCTTAGGGTTTATCGGTTTTAGGGTTCTAGGGTTTTTGGCTCATAAGGTCTTGGGCTTATTCAGTTTTTCGGGTTTCCACGTTCAGGACTTATATAGGGTTTAGGGATCAGTGTTTGCGTCCCGCGTCCCGAGTGTACGTGCGGCCACGTCCCAGGCCCCAGCGGCCACGGTCATGAGATCAACAAATTAAATGGGAATAGACAAAAGAAAACCCATACCCACGATTCTAAAAGCGAAGCCCAGAGAAATCGCAAGTTGCAGAGTCCCGCAGAACCATTTCAAGCCTTGAGCATCCTTGAAGAGCCTCATATGCCTCGTATCTCTTGGAATTAAACCCTAAACCCTAAAACCCTAAACGGGTCTCTGCCCAGGTGGCCCCATTGACCTGATAAGACGCGGGGCGGCACCCGTGGCAGACAGGCTGTTGGGTTTGTCAGGTCATGTCCTATGTATCTTGCAGAAGCACACACGTACTCATGCGTACAATATACAACCGAATGCCTCGAATTTGCCTGCATGCAGACTGAGCCCTTAGCCTAATTAAGTACCTTACGCCTCAATCCACAGCCCGGTTCGCAGGTTCTCAGCGCCCGCTTTGGCTGGACCGTTGTACGTTTTGTACACTCCCAAGAGTTGGTGCCAAAGCGCGCCAAGTGCAGCGAGCAGGGAGCCAGAGCCAAAAGCGAGTCGTAAGCCCAAACCGTGCGCGCTTGCAACTGTATTGTGTCAGCTTTCAAGGGACCGAGGGAGTATGACAATCAAAGCACGTACTCTACGAACCCTTGCAAGACTCTGAGTTTGGGGTTCAGCCTCAGCTTTCACGTCATGTTCGAGGTTCACGCTGTCGGGTTTGAGTTTAGGGTTTGGTATGGGATTAAGGAGTCGGCAGCCTCAAGCCACTGGCTTTGGAAAAAGCCGCATGAGGGTACAGGGGGAATATGCCCTTTTTCTTCAAGGGTCCAAGTTTCAAGATGTTTTCAGGGTTTCTGCATTGGGCCAAAAGCTTGGGTTCATTTTCCCCATGGAAAGGGCTTCGGTATGCTTTGGGCCCAAAGCTTGTGTTTAGGAGACGTGTGGTGCATGCTCTTTTAGGGTACTTGTCTTGTGAAGGATACAGTTCAAATGGCAAGTTGGCACGTAGGACTGTCAAAATAGCAACCATCAGCTCGTGGAGCCAAGAACGCCGAGCCGCCACAAGTAGCATCTCAGACTTAGCGTTTAGGGTTTAGGGTTTAGGGTTCAGGGTTTAGGGTTGACAAACTGGTGTGGTGCGCCATGGCGAGATTCCGGGAGCTTTTGCAACAGCTGGCGGACTTCCATGATGCGGAGGTTGCCAGGCAGGGCCATGAATAGCGCAAATCCGTGCAACCCCCGAGCGCTTGGACCTCTAGTTCCGGGATCTTATCCTGGAGCCCTGAACAGGCTGCGGTCGCATTGCACTGAGCTGGAGCAGCAGGCGGACACAAATCCTCGCCGTGGGGGTCAGGCACAGGGGTTATAGTCACGGCTGAATTCTGAGTATGCTTCTGCGGACGCCAACCGCTGAGATGTCGATACCAGTGAGCACATTCATAAGCCCCTGCACTATTCTGTGCTCATGGGTGCCAAAGGTGCAACGTCTCGTTTGGATCATATGTTCGCTCTGTCTATCTGTGTACATTATGCATGTAAGGCCTCCCTAGGAGCCCCAGGTTCGAGACGGGCAAAGGGTGGGGATAATGGTTGAAGATGGTTGGGTTTAGGCTTGAGAGGGTTTATAGGGTTTATACGGCTTTAATAGGGTTTATAGGGGGTTTCTAGGGTTTCTAGGGCTTATGGGGTTTATAAATAGGGTTTCTAGGGTTTAAAGTTCAGGGTTGCACTCCGCGAAGAATCGGGAGGAGATCCTTGGCACGCCGGACCGCTCCTTGTTCGGGAGCATGGTTCGGTGTTCCTGCTGGACGCCGGTGCCGATTCCGCTGCCGCGGCCTGGTTCCGGTGGCTCCAGTGGTTCCAGAAGCCTCCCAGACACCAGGGAAAGCAGCCAAGGCAAGTTTTTGATGAACCTTTGACGATTCGCAGAACGGTTCGGTTTCGAGGCAATGAGGAGCCCCATACCCATAACTTACCCAAAGAGTTGTCGGTGCGGTGGCCTCCAGGTGGTAAGCGCCGCAACGACTACCCGTTTTGGATCCTTTAAGGAGCCTCAAGAACTACTTGGAGGTTCAGGGTACTTACAACCCCAATTATAACTGCATTTACAAGCCCCGTAAGTCCCCTAAGTCCTCTAAGTAGGATAAACGTAGACTTATTACTTGGGGTCATAGGTACCCATGGACCTCCAAGTAGAGGTGGGTATGCTTTGGGTGCCGGGCCTTCTTAGCGGAGAGGGCCGCAGGGTTGAGTTGGGGTAAGAGCTTTCGAGCCGAAAACCTGGATTTGAGCCTTTGTCGGCCCAAACCCCAAAACCCTAAAGCCGACATGAAGCCCAAAACCTCAAGTTTCCCCCAGTCTCTTTTGGGATATGTGCTGCGAAGAATTGCTGTTGAGCACCGAAAACGTACTCATTTTCAAGGCTTCCTCGCCTAAAAATGGGTGCGTTTTCGGGCGGAGAGGGCCGCACCGAAAACGTACCATTTTGTCAGCTTCCTCGTCCCAAGGAGCTAAAAGTAGGTGCGTTTTCTTAGTGCGGGGCCTTCTTTAGGGGGTTCCAAGGCCGGTCCTAAAAAACCCCCAGAAAAGGCTCAAAAACGCCTTTCGGGTTTGTAAAAGGGTAAAGGGTGATTTAAGTATACAGTCCGGCGGTTCGGTCTTTTCCGGTCGTCGCCGGTACGGTCCGTCAACAGTTCGGTTCTTGCACGGTTTGGTTCCTACGGTTCCAGTTTCCCGGTTCATGGTTCGATTCCGCGGTCATCCTGGTACGTAAACCTCCAAGTCGCGCCTGCATTCGTCGACGCAGCAGCGTCGATTGTTTGCCATCGTTTGCCCGGACTGGAACTCGTTTGTACACCTGCGCTCAGAGCAGCAAGTTGGGCTTCACTCTTGCCTTCGATCAGCGAGAGCCTTGTAGGGCCACTGCAAACTAGGTGTAGGACCGTGTGGGATTCTTCCACAGCCTGCGGTGTCAGCTTTTTTGGTGTATGGCTTCTGGCACGAAGGTTGCTGCCACGAGTTTGCTAGCGGAGTGTTCAACTAAACTAAGTACCATAGACCTCAAGGTGAGCTGCTGCTTAAAATTCGACAAGGCTTACAGAGAGGGCTTCATGACACTCGCCACTCCTTCGGCGCAGGCACCCAGCCGCCTTTCCGAGAAACGCCTGCCGAAGCGGCCGAGCAAACGGAGACGTCGGAACGGGATGCAAAGCCACAGTCGTCAGCTTCCGTGCGGGCCTTACGTATCGAAAAGGGCCATTCGAATGAGATCTGTGGCCGCTGCTGGGGTTTGGAGTTGTAAGCTTCGGTTTCAGAGTCAACTTGACTATGCTGAGGAAACCGTCAGACTACAGAGTAACACCCCGTGATTGAATCCTTAAGAGCGCAGCGTTGTAGTTGTAGGGTCGTCATTTGTCAGACACGTTCCCCAATATCAAGTCAAGGATGGCCATGTGTTGCCATCCTTTCAAAAATTTTGCAGTGTAGGGATTTAGGGTTTAGGGTTTAGGGTTTTGGGCTTCCAGATGCGACGCCCAGGCGCCCTTCACATGCACGTTCGGGCCAGAAGTGCAGCAGCTGGGTTTTCGAATCCTCTGGGCCGGGGACAGGCGCGGGATTGAGCATGCTACGATTCTGAAGCAGTTGCAGGAATCTCTTTCCAGGCCTGTCAGGCATAAGGACTTTCAGGAGTGCAATGCTGGACTTTGTGGAGCATGCCGCGGCAGGCCAACCATTCAAACGGTTGATGAGGCAGGTCCTGCGTACCAAAGAGACTTGGCTAAGAAATTGGAAAATGTGCATGCTCAGCCGCGGCTTTGCGCCCCAGAGCTGTCATTTTTGCGAGTTGAACTTTCGTATCTTGCGTGACAGTGGCGGTCAGACTCGTCGTGAATTAACGCATCAGCTGCCTTCAACATGTGGTGGTAATGAGATTCATAGTTCTTGGGATTCTCCGCCTGAACTTGCCGGGTGTCACGCGTTTTGTCCGCGAATTGCTTTGCGTGTGCCCTGCGGGTTGGCAACATTTGACAGCTTAGGCGGCGTGCGTGAGATGGACACGATCTTGGCCATCAACGGGACGGACACGGAACACCGAGCAAGATATTCGGCCGCAGGATTGTAGACTCATTGTAGACTCACATCCCTAACCCTTGAGCCCCGGAACCCCGCACTCGTCCTTGCTTCTGAACTACAGGGGAGTGAAGATTCATTAGAGCTCCTGAAGCCGGAACTTAAGTCCCAAAATCCCAAATTCCCTGCGTTCCAAGGGGACGATCTCTTGCCACTTTTGCGGGAACGACCCTTGGGATTGACCATGTCGCGGATCTCCGAGGAATCGGGGGCTTCGGGCTTGCTTTGCTATATCATGTCTGCTAATATACAGGTACAACGTAGAGCCCTAAATGTTGTTATCCTGTGCCGGAAAGAAGCAGGCATCCAGCCGAACTTCAGCGAGACATCGCTAGAGGGTTTGGCTAAATGTGGAGCCCTTTTCAGAGACTGATTGAGGCCTTGGAGGTTAAGGCCCGGGCCTCCATACAAAGAAACTAGGTTCAAAGGATTTCCCCTGCCGGAATCAGGCGCTGCGTAAACCAGGTCTTGCACCGTGGGCAGGGCAAATTTCAGCTCGGGTCGCAGGGCCGCAGGGCCTCTCTCATCTCTGACCACAGCCAGCTCTGACCCACCACCGTGGCACCCCGGTGCCCAGCAAGTTGAGGAAAACGCCAGCCAAGCTTCGGCTTGCAGCCCCACAGTTGCGGGTGCTCCTCGTTCACCTGCTGCTCCTTCTCGCCGACGCCAAACGCTGGTGGTGTGCCTAGGTCTGATGTGTGGGGGTATTTGCCGAGTGTCCACGGTCCGGTGCTCTTCGTTCCCGCGCCGGGCTTGCGCACTCGAGAGGGCGGCTGTGCGAGTTTGCCGCGGTCCAGGACCTCAGAATGTCGCCCGTGCGCGCCCCGATTGACGACGGATCGAGTCCTCGCAAACGGCCTGCACCTGTGAAGCTTCGGGCAACATGCTCGACACCTGCGACAGTCGCCAGGGAACCGCCTCGCTTCCTTGAGCTCCCGCACTCGTGGCTCCGCGGCCAAGCTGTCTTTGCACGCGAGCTCGGTCGGTGGCAGCTGGAGCTCGGAGGCGCGCATCAGATTTTGCCGAGTGCAGTGTTCCACCTTCGTTTCGGCGGCCCCTCTCCTTTGCCAAAGCTCTCGAACGCGACGAGAGTCGGCGGAGCTAGGCTTGAGTTTACTGTT